CAGAAATATTTCTACGCATCTGTTGAATTTAAGACTTTATCATTCATCAAACTGTCAATATTGAAAACTGCACGACTGTGAAACTGTTGCTATTATAATTAAAATTATCACCGATTGCCTGCGAAAAGCGATTTCCCTAACACAGATTTCAAAGTTGAATTCCATCCGGTCTTACCAAACGGTGTTTATTCAATCACAGCGTGGTGAGTGGTGATGTTCTCCAGTACACAACAATAGGCTCCCCGCAAGCAGCTGGCTATCAAGGCTGGCCACAACCGCTGATCGGATTCAGTTCCAATCACCGTGTGTGGGGGTGGCCGGTAGTCGGCATCAGCCCACATGAACATCCATAGAAGGAGGAAGAAGCAGCACCGCTATTGATCGGAATCAGTAGCTCTTCGTGAATCGCTGTGGGCCATCTATGCCAAGCGCGTCACTCTCATTCCAAAAAACATACAGCTCACCAGCCTCATCTGTGTTTAACACCCTAATAGTTCAGCATTACTCAACCATCACGGCAAAACGGTCCTTTTCACCGGACCACCATACATTTTTGGTTTTTCGGACCACCATACATTTGTAAAAGAGTATTTTTTGGACATTTGTCAAGGTCATTAATCGAATGTCAGTTCCCATATCAAGATAGAGCTGGAATTAGCGTGTAACAGCTTTTGTAAACAATGACTTCTTTCGATGGTGTCTTGAAAGTCAAGCCTTGCCCACGCAAATCAACATCAAAATCAAGTAGGATAAGACTTTCCCTACTCGGCGGTAATGTTGGTTTGCGTGGGCGTGCCTTGAATTCCTAAAAATCAACGAGAGAAGTCATTGTTTACAAAAGCTGTTAACGCCTTATTCCAGCTCTATCTAGATATGTTTAAATCTTACATACCATGTTCTTGAAGACAACATTGGGGGTGCAATTTCAAAAACCAAAGTCGGTCGCGGCATGAAAGTGGTCTGATTTTGATCCAGAGAGGATGGATTTTAATTCTTATTACGCGAATCGATAGGAATTTTTTCTACGAATCTGTTAAAATTAAGACTTTATCAATTTCAACATGTCACTATTGATCAGAATCAGTAGCTCTTCGTGAGTCGCTGCGGGCCATCTACGTCAAGCGCGTCATACTTAAGAGTATAAACAGAGAGAACCCCGCTCAAATTCCTATTCCTACACCAAAGACAAGCTCTTGCTGCTGTTAACAAATAAAATTTATTATATAAGACCACGTAGTCCTACGTCACCATTGCGTACAACCACATAGGGCTGTCCTTTGTAGTTTTTTTTTTAATTCGCATGCTAGAGGTTTGCTGTCTTTGGCAAAGTTGTAGAAAGTAAAATTTTATAAAGAGTTGCCCGAGACATAAAAGCTGTACATCTTCAAATTACTGAGGTATACGAAGATTTGTACTTATTTGAAATTTCATGTAATATATCTATTTTTAGTACTCTACAAATTAAAATATTGTTCTGGAAACGATTTGATTGACTAGAACGGATCGACTATAAATTATAATAGTATTAATTCGAACGAATTTACAAAACATAATACCAGGCTTGCAATTACTCATTACAGCTAAAATGTTATTCGAAATTAAGAAACTATTAGGTATTATACGATTTTTTTTTTGTAAGATGCTGGAAGATGAGGTAAAGTTTGTGTATGACACATAAACCCTGTTAATTTTGCTTCCAGAGTGTCACAATTAGCGATTTGCTATAACGATGAGCGTGCACTCATTACGATTGCTCATTACAGCTAAAATTGCTTATTGTGACCTGGTAAAAGCAAAAATTAACAGGTTTTATGTGTCGTACATAAACTTTACCACCTCTTCCTGCGTCTTACAAATAAAAAATATCGTTATACTATCTCATAGTTTCATAGTTCCGAATAATACAATTTTAGCTGTAATGAGCAATTGCAAGCCTTTAATACTCAAAACACAGACAAACATACATAACGCATTGAGTATCGTCACTAAACTACTACCGCCATCTGGTGAGTACACTGTCATAGGCAGTACGCTCAACAGATGGTGGTAGTGTGTAAACGCCAAACTCAAGGGAATTGACTATGCGCGTCCACAGGCGGCCGTACTACCAACTGAGATAAATTTAAGTTGAGCGTTAAATGCGTGTTCTATGAAAACATGCAGGTTTTATGTCTAGTCGGCTGTGCTAAAAACATGAATTTCACAAAAAAAGAACAAAACTTGGTATATCTCAGTAATTTGAAGATGTGCAGCTTTAATGTCTTCGGCAACTCTTCATAAAATATAACGTTCTACCGTATGCGTGATAATGATTGCACCATTAAGCAATGTCAAAATTTAAAAAAATCTCAAAATTTCGTTTTCGAGTTTTTTTATTTATTCAAAGGGGGGATGTTTTTCAGAGTCTTAAACTATGTTAATCATCGATTGAGTTTCCCCTTGCTGCAATTACGGCCTCCACACGCTTCCGGAATGCATGGCAGGTTCTAATAATGTAGTCTGGATCCATTTCTCTCCGTGGTCGGGTCAATGTTAGTCTGAGGCTTGCTGTACTCGGGTGGCGTTTAGAACAGGCCTTGGCATTCATGACGCGCCATATTAAGTAATCCAGCGGATTAAGATCGATGCTGGATGGCGGCCACATATCCTTCGCCCAGAACGGAAGATGTTCCTGCAACCACTTCTGAGTGCGGTTCGAGGTGTGGCACGGAGCCCCATCTTGTTGAAATACAACATTTGGCTTCAAACCGTACTGTTCTTTGATCCATGGAAGAACATACTTACTTCGGAAGCCACCAATCCAAACACCATAACGCTAGCAGGATGCTTGGTCAGATACACGTTCTTGTGCTCGTCGGCCACGCCTTTTACCGGCAGAGAACTAATATACCGGTCGGTTCTGGAATTTGATACGGGATCGACGGTAAACATGCTCTCGCCGGTGAACAGGACTACCGGATTTTTTCGCTTCAGGAAGTTAAAGATTTTCTTGCATCGTTCGACTCGTAGCTAACGGATGCAGTTGGTAATCATGTGAGTTTTTTTTTCCGTGCCCTTGACTTCGCCCCGCAATCTTCCTTTACGATCTTCCGTGCCGTAAAATCACTGATCCCGTGTTCCTTTACCATTTTCCTTATTGAACGCACTGGATTCACCCGAATCTTCATTTTGATAGCAGCGATAACCCTCGGAACCCGAGCTGACCACGGAGGACCTGTGGCCACCATCGCGGATAGTTGTCCTTTCTTTTCTCGGTCTAAAACCCTTTTGACGGTCCACCGGGACACGCACACGGCAATTGAAATGTATTTTTGCGACATTGACGCTTGGGACAAATCACGAATACACTGCCACTTCGTCATGGTGCAACTGTCAAACTAAGTAAATCATTTTCTTTTATACACAGCCTACTAGGTTACGTGCATACAACGAAATGTTTGCACAGATGAAACGGGAACCTTATTTGTACAATGGTGCAAACATTATCACGCATACAGTACATATTTGCCCAAGACAGCAAACCTCTAGCGTGCAAAATAAAAAAGTTGGTACCGCTGCGCCATCTTTGAGGCAAACACTAGAACTAGTTTTATCCACCAAATTATTGTCCTAACTAAGCCAAGAAAAGTTACTGGAGACGTCAACTCAATTGAATGAAAATCCAGAGCATTATTAATTTGTACCTGCTTGATTCCATTCCTGGCCCACTGAGCAATGTTGAAATGGAAAATCCTCGGGAAAATCCAATCAACAACAACAAGGTATTCCATAGATGAGGGCATTCCTGTACGTAGATATGGTAGCGCGGTATGTGTCTAAAAACTTTCCGTCCAGTATATAACAGCTTTCTAGCGTATGAGACGCGAGAAACTACCAGTCCCGTCATTAACCTTCCTTACCTACTAACCATTGGAATACAGGGAAGAGCGAAATCTACTTAACAGCAAAATCTACTTCCATTCATGATTTTGCAGTCAGTGGAGGTGTTGCTCTGATCAAAGCACAGTTTTACTGGCCCATTTACTTTTTGATGGATTATTGCCTTCGGAACGTTTCAGTCTGGGGTAACTGCTTGTGCTGCACACTTAACACCTTCCAACACATGTAAACACAAAACATACTTTGACGATATTTGATACACCTACCCTAGAGCAAAAACAACTTTCACACATCACCTAGGCCGTTTCTCCACAATCCGACAAACTTACTTTATCGCACTCAGTGGCATGCATGTGCGATTAGGTACCGCCTTCATCGTTGAACCATTGAACTTTGGCCCGCACAAGCAGAAACCTTCAGACGAATAAATTAGCATTTGCCGCCGGGTACCCAGTAAAATCACACTCATCTAAACACACCGCATGACTTACCGCGATGATGCCAAACACGTCCACTCCGCCCCCGCAGATGCTCTAGGGGAAAAGTTCACACACGGCTGACTCTGTAGTGCCTACGTTTTCAATTGCACCTTTTGCACTACTTCTTTCTGTTATGTACCGCATACGCCGATCCAACCGATCCGAACGGCGATGTGGCGGTCTAGATTCCACTGCTTCCCGTTCCTACCGGTCCTGTAGCAGAACCGCCACAATTCAATTCACGAACGTTACGAACCTCGACATCTAATCAACTGCTGCAGCTCTGGCAGAACTACTACACACCTTCCTCTCCAAGGACCATCGATGGTAGTAGGTGGTTCTTAGAAATTGCATTGGATGAGCGGTTACTTTCCATCCGACCGTGATCTGTATCGGTTCACTGCGAGCGAAAAGGACTTCCTTCGGAATTAGGATTTTTCATTAATCTGCTGTGGTCATATTGGATTGGATAATTCGGACACAAAATGTTCAAGGAAGCATGCGATCCTCTGAAGCATACCAGCATGTACCAGAGGGCGGAAGAAGGTCGTTTTTGCGATACATATAGGAGAAACATTGTCTAATTATACGGTGGTGGGAAATAGTTTTCTAATTGAGTGTTGTATTCTGGTCTCGTTGCAGATAGTGAGGACAGCGATGGAGAAGGAGGACTTGGAAACGTTAGCCGAGTCATCATTCGACCACCAGGTAAGTTTGTACAGTGTTCAGCAATTAATCGCAATGGGAATTGAAATTTAGGAAACAATTGCAGATTGAAAAACAAAAGTTTTATGGGAAGTGATATTAAAGTAATCGAGGGCCACATCAAATGAATTCTCTACCACGTTAACATAAAATGAAAATTATTCCAATAGTGTTATATTTTCCAAACCTTGAGTGTGATTACTTGGTGAGTTTTCATTCTGTGGAGGATTTGCATTTAACACGGATTTTGCCGCTAATATTTTTCATCAAAATCATTGATGAGCGGATAAAGTTGGTTGACTAGCAAAATTAAATTAGGTAACATATAAAAAATTAGCTTTTTTCGTTAACATTTAGAGGTGACGCAAGCGGTCTAAGTCCAAAATGTCGAATGATGAGCTTTTTCAAATAAAACACATTAAGCTTTCTGACGTTTATAACACGCACACTTGCGTAATCCCATTTTCAAGTGCGATCTTTGTTATCATCACTTTCGCTCCAGCCAAAAATGTTGGTTTGTTATTGTTATCCTCATTTTTGGACCATCAAACTCGTGCACATAGAATGGACTATATAGGGTAGAGAACTATTTCGGCCTAATCGCCCATTTTGGGCCTATCGAGCAGAAAACTTCAAATAAATCCTTCATTTCAGAGTTAACAAGTCAATTGTGCGTTTGGTACGATACTTTAGTTTATAAGCTACGGAACGAAGTCAATGAGAACGCGTGATATGAAGGTTTGCAACCATTATTCCCAGAAACAAAAGAAGCGCTCCGACCGAATCAATTTTTATCTTCATCCGATAGGCCGAAGTGAATTCATTGCCGTTTCAATGGCGTTTCAATGCGTTAGGCCGAGTTTAGAATCCGTAGGCCGAGTTTGGCGTCAAGAAGCAGCGTTAGACTTTTGACAATATCTCAACGATTGGTTTCTCTTTATCAAATCTTACGGTACATACGGAAAGGTAAATAAATTTGGAAGCCATCAGTAATAATAACATTCCGTTTGGTGCTAAACTGCGCTAGATTAAGAAAGACTAAGTGCGGGTTGTGCTTAATAGGCCGGAAATGGGGTAGTTAACCCTATGGCTTCTATAAGTGAACCTGTTTTTTGACGTAGGACTTCGTCTGTGATTGCTATATGGGGGTGCACTTTGTGAAAACCGAAAATGTAACGAAATTATGAAAGATTTTGAACGTTAATAATTCAGCTGCCCCTGGACCAATTTCAATCATTTTATCACCAATCGATCAGAAATATTTCTACGCTTCGATAACAATGCTTCAACAAGAAACTATTAAAAAAGGGTTAGTGTCAAGCATTGTCCAAAAGCGTCGAAATAAGTAACAAATCCACCATGCTGCTTCCCCAACACTGTCATCAGAGAGTCGTTAGTAGACGAAACAAGTCGAAGTGGCATTCGCCTCCGATTTTCGGGAGGATGCAATTGCGTAACACTTTGCACACTCATCGCCATATTCCGAACCACACGCCCCCAACGACCACACAAAATGCTCTCCAGAGTTGTAATCTTGTAACCAAACTTAAAAGCAGGGATGCAAGTGAATTTGATCGATTCTCTTCATCGACTTTCTGTTTCGTTAATAACTCGACGGCAAACACATTCGTTGATACGTTTGTTGTTCTGGATGATAGAAGAGCATAGCAGAAATAGTGCAAAATAGACTTTCACCCCTCTGCTTCTAAGCCCCTTTATTCAGTCATCGTCATAGCAATGAAAACCAACTTCGCACCGCTTTTGGTTCTTGCTGGTTGCAATTCTTGGACATTTTCGAAGGACCACCAAAAAACATGAAATTGCACTATTTTCTAGGGATACCTAAAAGTCCAATTATTCGATTAACGATTAATCGTAAAGATTTTTCCAGCTATTCGATTAAATATTTATCAAATTTTCAACTGTTCGACCGCGTAACCGTCATCTCTTCTTATTTCTACTCTAGCGCAGTAGAGAAAATAAACAAAAGTACTAATTTATCTGAACAGGCATAGAGAAGAACCATGACGTGAAACAGGATCATAAATTTACCGAAAAAAGTGTTAAGCGTCTTTCTGCTAAAGGCTAAGATTTACCAACTTGTTGAGAGAAGTTTAAAGAGAAAAACTAAAACGGGCTGGGTAGACAGTGACAGTGACAGACTGATGCAAAATTTGAAAATTTTGCTCCACAGTTTTCAAACGGTTTCAAATCGGGTCCTGATTAGCCTCTGAAAGTTTAAATTCATTTGATAAGAAACTGACTTGGCACAAACCATTTGAAGTTTATATGGAAATGACTATGGGAAAACAAAACTTTTTGTTCATTGTGTTCTAGCCTTTTTCCATATTGTACTGTTAACAAATTCTATTACTATTCTTATGGGAATTTTTATCAGCTACAACTTTGCAGAGAATCGTTTTTCAGCCAAACGTCAAATTAAATAGTTATTAATTGTTTAAGAGATTGATAATCTTATGGCAAGATAAACAACTGTATTGTGGGCAACACTGCATTCTGCAGTGTGACATAGTAGCCATGATTTTTGTCCTCTATTCTACGTGCCATAAACACCAATGTTGCCTGCTGAACAGTTGATTGAGCATAATCATAAGACATCAGTGACTTGAATCATTAATAATTTTTGTTCCTTACATTTGATCGAAAAGTGGTCTTGAACAAAGTTGTAGCTGAGAAAATTTTTAACAAACTCAGCTATCATTTTCTAAAGTAGAGTGAACTGGTGAATTTTGAGATAGATATGAACCGAAATTATGGTTTCTCCATAGTAATTCCCATGTAAACTTCAAATGGTTTGTGCCAAGTCAGTTTCTCACTAAATGAGTTCAAATTTTGGGAGTGGAGTGTGGAGTGAAAATTTCAAATTTTGCTTCAGTCTAGTGGACACTGATATTCTGCGGCCTTCCCAACTTGTCGCAGACACCAGTTCAACCCCTGTCCAGCAGCAGACGGGCCGAGACTCACTACCTTGGTGCTCCAATTACTACACTAACTTACCAGCCTTAATTGTTATAATATATATATCAAAGTGTTATTACATTGTTCCTCCCTTGGCAATTCAGTATTTTAAACTGTTGCATGTCAATATAACAATTGACATCTTAAAACAAAAAACTAGAACTAAATCCTATCTAAGTATAAAGGAAATTAATGTCTGAAATTATTAATTATTACATTGAATATTTCTTCCAAATGTACCTCGGTAGTACTGTACCAGGGAGGCAACTTCAGAATCATCTTCAGAATTTTGTTCTGTATCCTTTGAAGTACTTTTTTCCTTGTATTGCAACAACTAGACCAGCGGCGCCGGCGGTGTAGCGGTATGCGTGTTTGCCTCTCGCTCCAAAAGGAACTGGGTTCAATCCCAGTCGGCACCGCCAGGATTTCCCCGGTCCATGAGTTGATGGGTCGATAGGTAGGGTCCAGGTGTGGGAGCTGCCTCCCTGGCGTTGGTAGCATTGGTACTCAGTACGGAAAACAAGATCGACGGAAAACATAACAAGATAATATTGGCACAGCGTAAAGCATAGCATGGCCGGTCTAAAAACTTGTTCAAATATTAGAAGTTCATTCTTCAGGCAAAGTTTGGATTTTTTGTTTATAAGAGGATACGAACATTTTAAATATTTATCACATTTGGCTTGAATGCCTGAAATGTGACTTTAAAAGGTTGCTGATCCTCACAGTCACAGCGAAGCACAATTCGTTATATATTCCTCTCGCTGTTGCTGAAGTAGTGGTGCAGGAGAGCGGCTCTCGCACTCTTCTCGTGCACGAAAATAGGTATATCTCCCACAGTCCTACATTCTCTCGTCGTTCGCTGAATTACGGCTTTAGGCAAACCAACAATCGTCACTCATCCGCTTATTCATTACTGAACAAGTTTAGTTGGGTCCATTCAATTCGATTGCTATTCATTTCTGGGTAATCTGCATAAAGAATTCAAGACCCCAGTCGCCATGAGCGTTCACGGCGATGCGATGTACTGAGTTCGACGCTTGAGTGGTAAACGGGAAAAAATCACCGACAAACCGACATGAAACTTAAACTTAACTCTTGATCGAAAATCCATAACGGCCGATTCAAATGTGCAGCGATCCCATCTGTCAAAACCATATAAATGTTTTATCTAAACAAAATAGATTAGACACGAACCAACTCATAAATTTTGAACGCGTGATTGTGGCTAAGATAAATATTTTCCGCGAACACGGCGGCAATTTATTTGTAATTTGTATGATCATTCATGTCGGTTTGTCGGTGCTCAAGTCCGAATTTCGGAACAAGTAAATTTTTCGTTTATGAATAACTTTTGGGTCTTGTCACCCTGTCCAAGTTTTAAAAAAGAACTCTTACTCGTTACACTGTTAACAATCAACTGAACTGTTTATTAATTATCAAATAAAACGAAACCTATCGCCCTAGCTAATTACTGCTGCGTAAGAACCTATAGGAATGCGGTCACTGCCCAAGTAGCAATTGGGGTTTTATGAGGGTTCTACAGACTATGATTTAGCCTTGTAGCATGCTTTAAAACCGTGATAAAACTTGCAATGTTACTTGGGTGTGTTGCTAATGCATGGGCAATGAAGTGCTGAGGTGGCTTCCGTCGCGTGGTCCTGGTCGGAGACATCGATGGTTACGTGAGAATCATGGTGGGTATATAAATGGTGATACAGCTTTGTCACTATATAGGCGAGGAGGTCGCGGGGGGAAAAGTGCGGTTTTAGAGCAAATTGTAAACAAACTCGGTCGCTGTCCCATACAAAAATCCAACATGGCTGAATCATGAATTTGACACATTAGAACACCTATATGTAGTCACCTTGGTGCGAATAACCGCATGTGCATCCGTGCTACTTAGTGTTGCTGGGTAGTGTGAATAACTGACCATCAGCTGGAAAGGAATCTGCCGGAATCTGCGCACGGTGGTTGGAGATTGAATGACACGAGAATGCAGTATCCAGTTCGTTGTCCTCGCAACGCTCATCATGGCTGACTACGAGTCCCTGCGATAGTGCTGAATGTTCAGCACACTGCACGGAGAAGCATTGGGTGCTCTTTGCATCCACACATATCTCCCCTTCACTCATAAAATAAAGAATAAGCTAATATTTTTTTCCATTAACCAAAGGCAGGGTGGTTTGTTGACCCATCAATATAGGTATTTTGACATAGGATTGCGTCTTTCGGCAACATATTGGGGGTACAATTTCAAAAAACCAAAATCAACCGCGTTATGAAAAATGCTCAGGATTTGACCACTTATAACTTTGTCAATAGCGGAAGGATATTAATTCTGCACGAATGTGCAACTGTTGCTATAATAATGAAAATTATCACCGATTGACTGCGAAAAGCGCTTTCCCTGACACTGATTTAAAAATCGAATTGACTCCGGTCTCACCGAATGTGTGGTGAGTGGTGGTGTCCAGTGGTCATCATCAGCAGCAGCAGCAGTGCTTTCGGTGCGTGACGTAGTAGATTGTTCTCTAGTACACGACGAGAGGCTGCCCGCAAGCGCGAGCTGCAGCCCACTGACCGGTCCATTCGTCCAAGAAAGAGCAAGGAGTTGCCCCGCTACTGATCGGATTTCAGTTGCTTGTTGTGTTGTGTCTCTTTTCCAAGCGCGTCACCGTTCCAAACAAAATACAGCTCGCCAGTCTTATCTGCGTAAAACACCTTAATAGCTCAGCATTAATCAACCATCACGACAAAACCATAAATTTGGTAAAGAGTATTTTTTTACGTAGGATTACGTATTACGGCAACATAAAACCAAAATCGACCGCATTAAGAAAAGAGGTCAGGTTGACCACATATAACTCTGTCAATAGCAGATGGATTTAATTCTAAACAAGCCAATTGATTAGAAATTTAGGTACGAATCTGCTAAATTGAACACTATATTAATTTTAAATAAGTAAATACTGAAAATTACATAACTGTTGTTGTTGTTGTTGTTGTTGTTGTTGTTGTTGTTGTTGTTGTTCGTTGTTCGTTGTTCGTTGTTCGTTGTTCGTTGTTCGTTGTTCGTTGTTCGTTGTTCGTTGTTCGTTGTTCGTTGTTCGTTGTTCGTTGTTCGTTGTTCGTTGTTCGTTGTTCGTTGTTCGTTGTTCGTTGGGGATCCAGGAGGGTTCGATCTTAACTAACATACACCATGAATAAAAATCATGGATATACCATAGTGTACACTGTACACGGGAAAAAATCCGTTCCCAAATTTGTCAACCTTTGGTCACGAATTTCGGAACAAGTCCATTTTTTGTTTACGAAAGTACACCATGAACTAAACTTATGGAAACGTGAACCTTGTTCCGCAAAATAAAAATAACGCCTGCGTAATGGCGCTCCATGCACCAGCCCAGCCATCGTATGTCATGAAAACGTGAACTCTTCTCTTGAAAATCATGACTTGACGGAACAAAATGCACGAATTTAAACAACGAATCGCGAGAATTTCTTTCTTCGGGATCATCTCTTCAGTATTGAATTACACATGACGAATAGAAAAAGAAAGGCTCTACGTTTTTAATACGCACAAATGCGTACAGTACTTTATTTTATCATTACCGATATGAAATAAAAACGAATTTCTGAATTTCTGAAAACATTTGAGGTGTCAAAATGCCATGAACATTTTGAAGGATGCCTTGGTGATGTCCGACTCCTCTTGATGCAAGAAGTTCCTCCAATGAATTCCGTGGGTCACTTGTTGTATCTTGAATCAACTCATTGCAGTTTTCTTCGTCAAGAAGAACATATTGCACCCCGGTATCGTTTTTCACTGCGTTGGAGGCGCTTCGTTCAACAATAAGTGACCCCTCGGATTCAATTTACTGCTGCAACGTTTAGGTCGTAAAGTTGCTCAGTTCCGACGGTTCAAGGAGTACATGCTCGACTGTATCATCAAGTAGTCCATCTGATTTCCTCTTTTGTAGGCACTTCACAGATTTCACTTAACTTTTGCACACAACACTGAATGATGAATTCAAGATGAAAACCTTTTTCGCATGCGTTACACTAAATTGACAGTTGCCTGAACAACGTTCACGAAAGTAGAAACAAAAATCACGCTTAAAGGTTTATAAAGTCACGATATCATGATTATATTTCATGCTTTTTAATGCGTTACGAAATGGTTTGGGATGCTCAACAGTCTTGAATTTTGTTCTTGGATTCGTGATTCTTTTCATGAAAGCTGGATTTTTTATACCACGTTTATGTGAACTAAGTCATGAATTTGAAGCAGTTGTTAGTTCACGTTGTCGTGATTTTTTGTTCTCGAAAATATGAACGTTTTTTTTTTGCGTGTAGGACGAATTCAGTCCCGGAGGAAAAAATCAACACAACTCTTCTAATCAACTAGCGCCCAAATCACCTGCACTGGAGCCAGCTCCACTGTTCACTCCGAAGCTAGACGAAATTGCTTGATTGGTGAATTCAGCACTCGTTGGTTTACCAATTCTACTGCCACCGCTCGCTGCTGCTGCTACCGCCGAAATAGTCCATATCTCGCTGATATAAGTGAACTCGCGCCTTGCCTACTGGTCATAAACAACGATTGAAAATGACAGCAGCAGCTATGGTCGTGATCCAAGTTCATGGTAGCAAGAACAAAATTTATGTATAAAATTCAAAATGAAATCATGATTTGGTGAACCATGAACCAATAAGCGTGATTTAATGGTTGCACTCAATAGGTGTGGGTCCCGAAGAAACGTGCTCAACTTTTTTGCTCAGCTCTGGTACTCTCTTCGGTCCCAAGCTAATCGATGCACCCCTCGAAACATAGGAAAATCCACGAACCCCTCATTTTATCTGTCAAACTTTCATAGCGAATCAAAACAAACATTGTGTAGTACTAGAATTTCGACTAGAATGGGGTACGTTCATCGATGTACTTGGGACCGATAGGCTAATCCACAGACACAGGTACAGGTACAGGTGTATGCGCGATTACATAAGTTTAATAATAAAAAATACTTTATTATCCTTTGCTCCTACAGTTCCTGATTCAAAACATTGGGTGCCGTTGATCAAAATCTATAACGCAATTGTAACGAATTGTAAAACGAAGATTTATTCAATTTTAAGCAATCTAAAGGCAATAGCATGTGGTCGGATGTGAGAGATCTATCTATATGGGTATCGGACAGGAGTTAGGATCTGCGAAGTTACATATACCGGTAATGACCAGAATTTGTCTTTCTCTCCACGCATCAGACTAGAGGTGGGCAAAACAGCTCATCTGGCCGAGTGGATAAAATCCATCCAGCTCGCTAAAGGGAGCTCTTCAGCTCACATTGAAATTATAGAAATTATGACACAAATTCGAAATCGGAAAATTAATTAGTGGTTTTAGTGCTTAAAACTGCATAAAATCGTAAAAGTAGTCTAAACCAATAAATCCGTACCTTACAATATATGGCACTACTTTTCAATGGAAAACGCCACTAACGCAACAACTGGTCAACCATGCGCGCAAAATGTGCCAACAACATATCAGTAAAAGCAAAACATGTATGCGAAAGAGCTACACCTATGTCACACGCGATGATATTATTGAAATCGTGGCACACGATGTTACGCCTTTTCTCAAGCTATGCAATCCAGTCTACATACAGATTTTATTTGTGATGTTAATTCTCCAGCAGAATTTCTCTCACTATTCTCGGCATCAGCTCAAGATCATCAGCTCAGATTCGGATCCGGAGCTGAATCGTGAAGAATGGAGAGAGAAAAAAAGATCCGAAGAGCTGGCCGGTTCCAAGAGTTGTCATCCTAAGCAGCTCCCAGTGAATCATTCGAGTCGATGATTCGGATCCGGAGCTGAGCTGATAAGCTGGAGAGATGCATTTCGCTTTTCAATTATTTGCTTTTGTGCGGATCTTCCGCTCCCCCAGAGAATTATGGGAGGAGAGGTGAGAGCACATATGCTGGAGGAATAACATCAGCAATAAGAGCCGGGTACATAAATAAATTGGATAATACCAGTAGAAGATTAAGATCGTGTAGCACATGTACATATTTCTCTCTCTCCCACTTCGAAGTTTGCTTTTACCGTTGGTGCTGTCGATCAGTAGGCACATGTTGTATTACGCGGTAGCTGTTCAATGCGTAAGTGGAGTAATGTGTTTTTTTTTTTAAGTTCCGCTATGAGTGATGGAATGTATGGTTTAGACTTGTGATATCAGTGAGCTGATGAGCTGCGGTTCCTAAAAAATGAACCGCGGGTCATCAGTTCACTTTAGAGAATCGGGTCTATAGAACAGCTCGGGAGCGGATCGCCCATCTCTACATCAGACTTATCGGTAAATCATTTTAATTTTAGCCGCAATTCCAAATCTTTCTCATGTCATTCTTTCTGTGCAATAAGACCACTGAAAAAAAAGCATGGATTTCAAAGTGTATTCGAAAATATTTTAAGAAAGAGAGCTGCCAAAGCCAGGTTCATTACTACATTACTAATCCAGGAAAATATTGGCAGTGCATTTGCAATGCAAATTTTTTCTCTGGATTAGCAATATTGTACATGAAGAGTAAATAAATAAAATGTCTTAAGAAACAAGTTTCCCAAAATAAGGAATTGAGGGGCCGGGATCCACCTAGTGACATAAAAAATAAACTTCTTTCAGCTTTAATCTTTTTGACGCTCTAATTGGGTGGGGTTCGTCGTTCAATTGCCAAGTCACCACACTCTCCATGCAACTCGCTTATCTAATGGAGACGCATGGCTTAAAGTTGAAACTACGTTATAAAGTGCTTCAACAAAAATTCTAAAGAACCACAAATGCCTTTTCGTTTCAGGTCACAGCGGCAAAGCCAAACGGGGTCACCTATGCTTCGATGCTGCCTTCGAAACGGGCAACCTTGGCCGTGTGGACCTGGTGGGCGAGTTCGAGTACGATCTGTTTCTCCGGCCGGACACGTGCAATCCCCGGTACCGGTTCTGGTTCAACTTCACCGTCGACAACGTCAAACAGGACCAACGGGTGATATTCAACATTGTAAATATCAACAAAAATCGTAACCTGTTCAAGGATGGCATGACACCGCTCGTCAAGTCGAGCAGCCGTCCCAAGTGGCAACGTATCCCTAGGTGCGAAGTTTTCTACTACAAATCGGCCATCCATCAGAACCATTATGTGCTGAGCTTTGCTTTTGGATTCGACAAGGAGGACGAGGTGTACCAGTTTGCACTAACGTTTCCGTATTCGTACTCGAAACTGCAGGCCTATCTAAACGCGTTGGAGACCAAGTTTCCGGAATCGTTCGAGCGGACCACACTGGGGATGACGATTGTGAGTTTTCTGTCTGAATTACACCTCTGTTTCTTGTTGAACTTTTCATGTCGATTGCAGCAAAACCGCAAACTGGAGGTAGTCACCTTCGACGACGTGAAGAAACCGGACAAAGTCGATCAGAAGAACGTCATCCATATGGTGGTAATCCTGGCGAGGATTCATCCTGGCGAATCGCCAGCTTCGTACGTTGTGCAGGGATTGATCGAATACCTGGCGGCAGCGAATCAACCGATATCGAAAGCCTTGCGGGATAATGTGGTGTTCAAAATCATTCCAATGCTGAATCCAGATGGGGTGTTCTTGGGAAACAACCGGTGCAACGTGATCGGACACGATTTGAACCGATCGTGGAACAAGATGTCCCAGTATACGCATCCGACGCTGGGTGCGGCCATGAAGATGCTGAAGGAGTACGACAACTCGAGTGTCAGTTGGGTGAATCTTAGCTGTGATGCTAATTGTCTAGAGAATTTTTTTCTTTCTTTATTTCAGTGCTACCAGGTGGATTTTGTGATCGACATCCACGCCCATTCGAGTCTGACGGGGACGTTCATCTACGGTAGTACGTATGACAATGTGTATCGGTACGAACGGCATCTAGTGTTTCCCAAGCTGTTTGCAGCCAAGTGCGAAGACTTCTGCCAAGAGCATATGATGTTCAACGCGGACGATAGGAAATCCGGAACTGCCCGGCGGTTCTTTGTGGAGGCGTTGAGTGATAATGTCAATACCTATACGCTGGAGGTTTCCATGTGTGGGTACTACCTGAACGATAGCAACTTACTGACGCAGTACACTGAAGATGGGTGTAAGTAATAGAGCACTGCGCGAAACCTAACCCAAATCTCCCCGTTCCTTTTCCTCACCAGCGAGTTTTGACAGTTCTGCCGGGTTTGTTTTGGCTCCCGTTCGTTGCTATCTCTTTTACTGTCATGGCAAAAATTGAGGTTAGATTTTGCGTGCAGTGCTCTAATGGGTCGTGTGGATATAGTAAAAAGGCTATTAGGGGTTGTTCATTAACTACGTAAACAGTTTTCTGGGATTATTGAACCCCCCTCCCCCTGCGTAGACAATTGTCCATTTTTTTTTTAAATTTGTATGGGTCGTGGATAATTGCCATTCTAAACTGTCTACGTAATTTATGAACAGCCCCGTAAAAGGCCTTTCGTTACCATTTTGAAACCTTTTATGGGGATTCAATCAAAATAGTGGATCTCAGCAATTAAGAGGTTGTATCCAAGACACAACCATAGATTTGACGTAGGATTACGTGCTCGGTATCAATATTCGGCGACTGTGTTAGGAAAAGCGCCTTTTGCAGGCAATCGGTGATAATTTTGATGAACAGTTGGACATTCGTGTAATTTTCAATAGTAACCTGATGAAAATTGATAAAGTGTTTATTTCAGCAGATTTGTAGAAAATTTGTCAATCGATTGGCTTGTTTAGAATTAAAACCCATCCGTTTTTGACAGAGTTATAAGTGGACAAAACCTGACCACTTTTCGTAACGTGGTCGATTTTGGTTTTTTGAAATTGCACCCCCAATATGTTGCTGAAAAACGTAATCCTACGTCAAAAATATACGAAAGCCACTACTATTAAAGTTCTCTTTACATATACATGAAGTCTTTTTCGTATGTTCTTCTGGAATGGTCATGCTCTTGAGTTCCTCTGGATATGAAATTCAATTTGCGTTTCCATTAAAGATCTATGAACTCCCAGCCAAGCGTTTTTAATTAATCATAATTGCCTTTCATTATCCGCCATCTTTGCTTACAAAATGGCGCAGGTATACGGCACCTAGACCATATTCTGAAGAATACTTGAACAAGTAGATGTCTATTCAGTGGACCAGGATTCTAAATTAAAGTTGAAAATGGCGTCCATACTGCATTTGAAATCAATTAAAGATATTGACGAGAATATACCGGAATCCGGATTAGACTGTCCTATACGCAATTCTCATCCCAACACTCATTTCAGATATGCGAATCGGTCGCAACCTGGCGCGATCCTTCCTGGAGTACTACCGTTTCACCAACATCCTGCCAATCCCGCCGGTGGACGAGCTGCGACCGCGCAAGGGTCGACCCCGAACGCACCGGCCTCGGGCACGATCCCGAACCCGCAGCGAAGTTCGCTTGCGGCCCAAAACCGTCCGCACCTACGCTCCCATTAGCTATACGGATCTCTCGATCTGCTACGACAGTTCGACCTCGAACGAGGGCTCGCCGATACGCTACATGTACTCACACTACGGTGGCTTCCGGATGCGTGCCCTTGGGCCACCGGATCAGTACTCGCTGTCCAACATCCAGGCGGCTCGGTTCAGCAATCTGGATTTTAGCAGCGACTACCGGTTCAAGGTTACCCCGAAGCCCAAAACGGCTCCGGAGCAGCACAAGATGCCCCCGATCGAGATCCTGAACGTTCCGCCAAAACCCTGCCTTACCATTATAGACTTCAATCAGCTTACGCGCGGAGGCCTCGAGGAAGCCACCTCCGGACGGAAGCTCGAACGGGAAAAGGAGAAAATCCGTCGCCACACGCTCAAAAGCAGTTCAAGAAAAGCGTAGTCTAGATTGATAAAAAATCGATTTTTTTATTATTAAAATTTGTAATAATCTCTTATATTCAAATCTACTAAACAACTCTCTACAAGCGTCGCGAAGGATTCCGTTCCACAGATTAGGACCTGGAGCGAATCCTGAGCATACCGAAGCAATAAAGTCTCTATGTCAATTTTCTCCAGTCTGTGATTCAAGACCCGCTCGTTGTATTTCTTCTTCGATGACAGGCACGAACAACTCCTGGACGACTTTCCGCCACAGAAACAGCTTTCCCTAGAGAGATAAATCGTAGCTTCGAAGTTCCAAAACGCTCCCAGCTTCAACAGCTCATCTCTCATCAAAATTCCTTCCACATCTTTACAACAGTAGACCAGCTTCAGTCTTGTTTCATCCGCCTCATCTTCCAAAATGGCCGCCACGATGGAGTAAATCGGTGCCAATCCGACTCCCTGCGCTAAGCAGATCAAGTTCTTCCGAGCATTTCTTTCCCACACGAATCCGGTGTAAACCCCCTTCCACTCCGTCACGTCACCAACGTTCAAAGTCTGCAAATACTCAGACATCTCCCCTGCCGTTTCCATCCTTATCAGAACTTCAAACTCGTTCGCATCTCGATCAACCTGGATCGGTGTGTACGGTCGACTAAAGTACAAATCACGCTCGCTTCGATCGTACTTTTCAACCGACTTCCTGTCGCCACCATGAGCAACACGTGCTTCCGCTGAAGCCGTTTCGTTCCGCCATGTTGAAAACATAGCATTGAGCCCACGCTCCGTCTGTCTCCAACCTCTCGGTGCTCGCAGCATCAGATGGCTACCGGGAGGGATCTGTAGCTCGTAGCCGGCACAATCGTTGTCTTCTGTTCGGGGATGGTATCGGAACCGGAAATGGAAAGTATTTGGTGTGCGCTGCGTGATGGCGACGCATTGGAATGGTTTGTAGCTGCTGTCCAGAAGACTTGGTCGGTTGGAGGTAGACGGATGTTTTCGGAATTTCACTTTACGATCGAGTACACAATTTGTGCAGCCGGAACCACAACACTCGGGTAGGTAGTCTTCTTCGGAGGCCATTAAAAAAATACCTAATGGTTTTGATGAAGAAAAAAATTCCTAGTTAAGAATTTGTTTTGTTTATAAATTCCATTGCTAACGGCTCGTAACGCCTCGATGTATCTGATTCGATGACAGCGTTCACTAAACGAGCCTCCGTAGTATTTGCATTGTTATTTGGTTACCGAGCTGGTTTATGTTCACCTGAAGTAAAATTCGATTCATGAGCTACTAAAATTGAATTTGAATTCGTGGAAAATTTAATGATAAACATTCGCAATGACCGAATCAGTGGTGGCGAGCCGGCATAAAGATTGCCTTCCATGCCGAATCGTCAGCGGAACGGGCGTGCTCGGAATGGGAGTCTACATTTGGATGCAGGCACAGAAGAGACCTCAGGCAGTTGGTAGATACGCCATATACGGCGTGGCGGCAGGTAAATATTAAATCTGACCTAAGAATAAACATAGAGCAGAGAAGAGTAGAACATGTTTCGTGGAATGGCTATTCAATCAAAAAGACATGTCTTCAAACGTATCATCTCTGTGGCATTTATCAGAGATCAGAGGTGCCAGGTTTGATAACATGTCTACATTTTTTAAATCATTCGAAATTGTGGGACTTCCCTTGGCATAGAGTATGATTGTACTTGTCACAAATGTACTTAAGCAATAATGGTACATCCCTAGAAAGCTCTCAATTATCAACTGTGGATGTGCCTAAAAACACTAAGTTCAGAGCCGAAGTAATGTCTCCCAGTGAGGGCGTAATAAAGCCAAAGCAGAAGACGCATTGTGAAGACATTTCAAATTTTCAGTAACCATGTAACAAGTTCCAACCATTTGCAACTTACAGTGGCCGGCGGAATCGGAATAACGCGACTCCTAGATGTCTACCCTTTCGGAAAATCACGGGAAGCCCCAAAGAACTAAATCCACCGCCTTGTTTGTTGATGTTACATGTATGTAGATTACTAGTATGATTTATTTGACCAAATGAAAAATTACACATAAATTAAGACCTGGAATACACTCCACGAGCGACGCGCGGGAAATTACTTCCTTGATCCGAACACCCCCTTACTTTTGCCCAACCTTTCCCAGCGAAGTATCGGTCCTCGGATCGGCGGTGATGTTCTGCACGGAAACGATCGTCTCATTGATGGCGGTTTGCAGCTTCCGCAGACTTTGAATCTGCAACAATCGCAGGATTCGCGCTGCCCGCTCCAGATCGGGTTCCTTCTGGAATCCCATCCCTGTGCCTTCGCCGATCGGGAATGGTTTTCCGGTGATGATCGGTTCCTTGAGAACTTCTTTGTTGAACATAGTTGAGATCACCCGTCCGGCCGATCTCACCGAAACCAAATGATCCGGGTGATAGGCGATTCCCAGCTTTTCCGCTAACTTTTTGGAACCCTCCTCAAATTCAGGGCTTGTGACTGAAAATTAAAGAAATATTACGAACTTCCTCGAATCTAAAAACACAACCAACTCACAATCGATATTATCAAACGGATTCGTCGATTTGATCTCCGGCGCCGCTGTGGCCTTTTTATCCTCTTCCAGCTTCCGAGCTGCGGTAACGGGCCGATACCGGTCGGCATTGTCGGAGTATTCCAGCTTTATCGCATACAGAAACAGCCACGTTAACTCTTCGGCTTTCGATTTCAGATCGGTGGGATACTTCAAATCCATCTTGTATTTATCATAGGCGGGATCCCAGTCGGCAGCGGCGCCCACCTTCCGTAGATTCGCCCGGTCTTCGATGGTGTAGTGGCGAATCTTTTGATCCTCCAGCCACAGGACGATATTGCGGAACTCTTTAGGATCTGCGGTAATGAAATGATAATTACCATTCGACGAACAAATCAAATAGAATATTCTTACCGTCAATATTGATCCCACCCTGGGCGGGGTATTCCAACGCGGCCAAGTATCGCTCAAACATTGCAATTTTCGTGAAATATATTGCAGTATACTTCTTGCCGGACTGCCGGGTGCGGATGAAGACTTTTGTTTTGATACAAATGTCAAGCGCTGTTGTTACCCTAAAATGACAGCTCGTTTAAAAATTGATTTGTGTGTGTTTGGTAACGCAAATAACGGGATGATAACGTATTCGAGGGGACTGGTGCAGCTGCGCACCGCACTGCATTTGGCTGGTTCAAACAATCATTAATCTTTTCTAAATTAAGATATTAACATGCTTCCACAAGGGGGACGAAACTCCCAGATTTATTCAAGTTTTTTGAAAAAAAATAATCACTATTTTCGTGAATCGATTCATACCTGTATAAATCCACTTTATCATATCCCGACCAACCGTTCGTGAAAATTCTTCAAAGTTCTTTATACAGAAATAAAGATTTATGTCGGCAATTCACTTTAAATTTTCTTTCGATGTACACATTTAAAAATCTTTATTCATCGATACTTACATTTAAGATTATTTCTTCATCAGTCATATGATAGTAATCTATAAAGGTGCCATGCGAAATTTCTTTTAATTTCGATATGTCACATGGGCTTTAGTAATATTCTTGACAAATATTCATCAATAAATATTTAAATACTGATATCATCGTAACTTTGAACTTTGACAAAGAACAACAAAGATTGCCATCGATGCACATTTATAATCTCCTTGTTATCGATTTGCATCGCTGGTTAAAGAGAGTTCGAGACACACCAGGTGACAGATGGCAATGTTTATATTATTTATCGACATATTCGGAATTTCATCGGAAGAAGCAATCTGCCGGTAAATGAACGAGAAGACCGCCCGGAAAAAAATAACCATACAATTACCATAAAATAAAATACAGTTACAAGTAAATCTATTGCCAACAATCGATCTTATTGTGTGTATATAGTACACGAAGTTTTAGCATATTGTTATTACAATAGATGTACAATACGTCCCATATAGTAAGAGTTTTCAACAATAGAACAACAATACAATTAATGGTAAATGGTTCAAGTTTGTTCGGGAAAAAGTGATTTTTCGTATGGTTAAGATACATAACGACCCCCTTAATCTATTGTATATTCCCCAATTTACCATAGATTCTATTGTAGAAACAATACATTCTATTGTTATTTTATCGTTGTGGATAATACGATTTTTTGTAAATACCATAAACTCTATTGTATGGTTACAATACATTTCATTGTACCTCTACGGTTCTTTTTTTTACGGGCGATAGCCGCGATGCAGCAAATGTTTACCATTGTAGTTCTTCAAGTTTATGTCTATATATATTTAATAACCCGTGATAACATGCGTGGTGGGATTCTCGGCATTTGGAACCCAATGAGGAAAATTGATACCTTTTTGACCTCTATTACACCTACATGGCTGACTGGTTGATGGTTATGACAAATAAATATTGAATTCATGTATGAAAAGATTTACAGAAATTGCAATACATCACATACTAGAGTGTGTTTGCCTGTCGTTGATAAGCTCATCAACAGCAGCCGTGGACCTAAGGGTGGCGACACATCTAAATCTCAACTTTAGATTCTCAAAAAATCTCACACTAGCGAATCAATCTTCGAAAAATCTTCTTGCATTTCTCGCATATACTTGCATCGTGCATCATTTTTTTGCAGGAAATCTTCAGAATCGTTATTAATCTTCTTTCGATCTACTCAGCGTGCGAGCAGCCAGCACACTTAATCTAGCTCGGTAAAATCTCCAACAGCCGATTACTTCGGCATTTACTTTTGCTGATATATGTGCAAAATATCTGTTTGTTAGCAAAATGATATTTGTTAGCTGAGTCTCGGCAATTGTTTTACTGAATCTCAGCAAAATAAATTGCAGAACTACTCGGCTGTTGGAATCTCGGCGAAACATTTTAAGTGTGAGCCACAGCACAACACAATCTTTCCTGCAGCGGAGATAGAGTCGTCCCCCTCGCCAAAATTCTACATTCACCCAACCATCTACAGCAGAAGCACACTCCGAAGCTCTTCGTATAAAGGTCGCAACCAACGAAATTCTATCATAGGATCTAATCCTACATTCTTCACCGAATACTTCTGAAATCCAGCATTCAGCCGAAATTCGTTTGCTTTCGCAACCACTTTCGCCTTTGACTTGGAACACCTCCAAACCGTGGCATTATCTTCGTCCTGATCTTTTCGTTGTCGATTCCCGAATAGAAATTGTAATGTAGGAAACATTGGTGGCGATGCAATGTTTTTCTGGTAAGTAAATGTGAATTTATTAATTTAATGTAATGTAATTATGTTTTTTTTTTTAGGAAAGTGTACCGGTACCAGTCCCAGCCGAATCCCGGTAGGGAATCCGAAGCTGGATCCCGGGCGGGGAGTTTGCAGCCAGATCTCTTTGCAGGTTAGTCAGTGTATTTACTAAAAGCTACAAGCCCGATGACGGATTCCGTAAACGGAGCCCGATGACGGGTTCCGTAAACGGAGCCCGATGGGGATTCCGTTGACGGATCCCGATGGGGAAACCGAATACGGATCCCGATGGGAAAACCGAATACGGGGTCCCAATGGGGAAACCGAATACGGCTCCCGATGGGGATTCCGTAGACGGATCCCGATGGGGAAACCGAATACGGGTCCCAATGGGGAAACCGAATACGGATCCCGATGGGGATTCCGTAGACAGATCCCGATGGGGAAACCGAATACGGATCCCGATGGGGAAACCGAATACGAATCCCGATGGGAAAACCGAATACGGGTCCCAATGGGAAAACCGAATACGGATCCCGATGGGAAAACCGAATACGGATCCCGATGGGAAAACCGAATACAGGTCCCAATGGGGAAACCGAATACGGATCCCGATGGGGATTCCGTAGACGGATCCCGATGGGGAAACCGAATACGGATCCCGATGGGAAAACCGAATACGGATCCCGATGGGAAAACCGAATACGGATCCCGATGGGAAAACCGAATACGGGTCCCAATGGGGAAACCGAATACGGATCCCGATGGGGATTCCGTAGACGGATCCCGATGGGGAAACCGAATACGGATCCCGATGGGGAAACCGAATACGAATCCTGATGGGGAAACCGAATACGGATCCTGATGGGGAAACCGAATACGAATCCCGATGGGGAAACCGAATACGTATCCTGATGGGGAAACCGAATACGTATCCCTATGGGGAAACCGAGTACGTATCCATTAGTTATCGTTTCGTGTGGAAAACCTGGAATTGGGTTGTATAATTTCGAAAAACAAACAAATTTTTATACATCATCTGAACGCCCGAAAAAAAAAATTACAGTAAAATTTTCAGTGGAAACAATGCTCTAACATTAATATTTATTGTCGACAATAAAAATGATTGTTATAATGTTGTACTCTTCCGAAAACGGCAAAACTGCTACCTAGCTGTACAATGAATGTACATAATAAAATGTTGTTACAATGATTTTTATCGTATTTTTCATTTATTTTATTGTTAACATGATTCGATCATGAACAATAATGAACAACTCTATTGCAATAAAAATTGTTGTTACATTAAATATTGGTGTATTTTCATTGTGGGTTACTTCACGAACAATAAAAATAAATCTGATTGAAGCATGCAGACTATGAGAGGGTCAGCAACACTGCCAATGTAATTAAGATAGGCGCTGCTCGTATGGCTCTGGCTTTGACAGTTCGTTTGGCTCAAAACCAGGCAGTCCGCGTCCGCTCATATCTTATCCTAGACCCTCTCTAAAGCTTAATGGAAACCTTGTCCGTGCAGTCAATAATCATACAATAATAATAAAAAATTCCACCACTTGAAGATGTCAGGAAGGAACTCTCAGGTGGAAGCATATTTCATGGGTGATTCTCTCCAGTCGAATGCATTAACTTATCAACGACGCTCAACCACCAAGGAGACGTGACCTAGGGATATCGAGCGCAGGGGAGTTGGCCTGCATTTCTCACAAGTTCCGGATCGAATCTCGATCCATAACCAGTAAAAAAAGGACCACCCGTAACAGATATACCACCCCCTTCCCTTCCCGGGGCAAAGTTTTATTTTTTCGATTTATTTTTAAAGTCGATAAAGTAGATCTGTCAAGTCAACACATACACTCTAAAGTACACTGTTATTTTTTTTAATAAATAAATTCGCCAACCAACAGTAAAATAACAATAATATATAATGTTATTGAAAAAAAATTATATGGGAAAATCACGAAAATTTCATTGTTAAGATACTTAACAACCCCCCTTTTTTATTGTAAATTTTCCATTTACCATGAAATTTATTGTTTTGTACAACATAAATCAAGGTAAATTTATTGTAGACGTAACAATATAAATCATTGTTAAGACAATAATTTTCGTCTTATTGTTACATTGTTTTTTAATGTACTTTTGTTGTTATTTTTTTTCGGGCGAGCTTCGTTTTCTGAGCACAAATATATTTTTATCGTTCCCATAGACATTCATCTCGATTTGTAAACCAAGATTTAAATTGTTGATAAATTGCATTAGATGACATTAATATCCTTTTGAATGACAGTTCGCTCTATGGCGAGGGCCGCTAAAATGGTGATGTTTGCAAATGTAATAACACTGATTTATCATAGTTCATGTGAACCAAAATTTATGAAATTTTGGATTTAGGTTCCATTTTTAAACCATTTTTTCAACCTATTAATATTGGATTCAGAGAGCCGCAATAATGGCGGTAAGCTCCAACTCGGATTAACTTTTAATACCGTCCCTGTTTGGATGATCTGCGAATTGTTTGCATAACATCGTGTTGAATAACTCTGATGTCGACATCAAAGCAGCCGGACATTCTTGATCGGGATATAATCCGAGGATAATACCGAGTGGAGCTTACAGCCATAAGTGATTTAATGAATAATTCGCTGATTGCGACTCTCTGAAAACTAAATGCACAGGTTTCATACGTCAAACTCATCCTTTGCAACGTCCTCTTGTAACTTAAAAATACAAAATGTCATAATAACGTAGGGTAGAGAACTACTTCGGCCTAATCGCCCGTTTTGGGC